AGAAATCAATTATTAATGAGGTTAGTTGGTTAATTGTCTTCTTTGAGAAATGATATTTCAAATAATTAAAATTGATATAATTTATATAATATGCAAAGCTATAAACTTCATGTAGTTTCTGAAAATTTGAAGGATAGACATCCTTATGTTGAACCGGATTTTAAGGATAGATATGATCCTTCTGAAGTAATACTCATATTAATGAATAGGTTTATCATGCAGTATTTGACCGTTCCATTCCTAAATTGATTGAAATATTGTTAATGGAAAATATTGAAGCTTTTAAATATAGAGATGCCTTGATTACATTAAATGAAATGGTTGATCATTAAGAGATGAAGGATCAAATGATATCATAAGGTAATACTTCTCTTTAGAATTAGGTCTTGTGGGAATTGCTAGTGCTTATTTACATCATAAAGATATTTAAATTAGAAAACAAGCAGTTATTTTATTGGGATGTTTAGTAAGTATAATGAGAGGAAGAGAATAATTAAGTGATTTGAGTTTTGATGGATTATCTAAATTATTATTTGATGATGCTAGAGAATAATGTGGATGGGCATTATGTAGAATAATAACTGGTAGAGATGGAGTAGATATATTATGTAAATCCAATCTCACTAAAAAGATGATTTAATCCTTTATGTAATCTAAAGAATATCCTAAATTTACTGTATATTTATTAGAAGCATTTGCAAAAATAGTAGAATTTGATAATGGTATTTACTTCTTTTTAAATTGTGGAACCATTAAGAGATTTATTGAAATTCTATCTTAAGAGAACTATTATGATTAAAAATATACTTAAAGAATAACATATTTATCTTTAGAAGTATTATCTAAAATATGTGCTAATCATGAAGGCAAAGAAGAAGCTATTAATGAAAATGCTATTAATGTTGCTAATAGATATTTAGATAGTCCTTTATAAGAAGAAGCATATTTTGCAACCATATTAATAATGAATTGTACTATTAATCTTGAAGGCAAGAAATAATGTGTTCATGTTGAAAATGATGAAATAATTTAAGTATATCAATTTAATTAAAAATTAGAAATTAATCTCTCTATTAAATAAAGATTTTAGTAAAGATGTTAAGCAAGCATTAATTAATATTGCAGATTATCCTGAAGGATTTATTATTATAACAAAATTATTATCAAATAACTATGAAACTTTAGATGATTTACTTGGTCCTAGAGTTGTTATTGCTTTGGCTAAATTAATACCAAGAGGTTTAGAAAATTATGATAATTATAAATAATATGGAAGAACACTTTGTAAATTCTTGAGAGATTATAATGATGCTATATTTATAGCCTTGGAAGTATGAGTTAATAAGAGTTTAAAATAGGAAACCGTTAAAATAGTAGAAATTTTGATGGAGTTCTTTTATTATACAGATTTAGTAAGAGATGTGACAGATTCTTTATTAAAATTAATTGAAGTAGATATAGAATCAAGAGAATATGCACTTAATTATTTGGAAACTCATAATGCAAACAGTAAAGAAATTTAAAATATATCCAAAAAAATACTTGAATTATTCCCACATTGAATATTATGTATTATTTTTAATATATTGATATATGTAAATATATCATTCTTGTTATTATTTTTGTTAATCCTTTTTAACTAAAAAAGTCATATGTTTCTGCCATCTAATTAAATTTTATAAGGCTGGATCAATCTCTTTTATTTTTGCAAATTCTTCATAATCTCTAGGCCCAACAATAAAACCATCTCCATCAAGAAATACTTTATCTTATAATTCATCATTCAATTTAAGATGAGTATCATCATGTTCATGAATTTCAATCTCAACTTTAGATTTAGGAGGTTTCAAAGATTCAAAAAATTTACACAATTATGGAATTGTTAATTTACCCTAATATATATATATATTTAATAATATACAATTCTAGTATTTTTTTCACAATCTCTAATATCAATAACACCAATACGTACTTCCTCTTCTCCAATAACTCCAACAAAATTATAATATTAAATTTAAGCATTTCTTACTTTCTTAGCTAAAGTTTAATCTGATTCATCAGTATTTACAGTATAACCTTCTAATCTTAATCTAGCTGAAATCTTTTCAGCAACATCTCTATAATAAGCAGACACTGGGCATAAAATCAATTATTTAGGAGATAACCAAAATGGCCATTTACCACCACATTATTCTGTTAAAACAGCTATCATTCTTTCTAATGAACCCAAAATAGCTCTATGAACAATAACAGGTCTTGCAAAACCTGGTTTTAAATGATGATAACCTAATTCATATTTCTTTTCTATTAAATAATCATATTATAATTATTACCATGTAATACTTTATGTAATTCATGATTTGATAATCCTTAACTAGAACCAGATTCTAAAAGTTCTTCAGGTAATTTCTATTTCTTATGTAATAAACTTGATGCTGAATGTGAATGTTGTTGTAATTACAATTATTAATATTATTATTATTATTATTCTAAAACTTTATCAGATTAAAATGAATGACTAGATTAAATTTTTAATTCTCCTGGTTATTCACCTTATTATTAAGTATGACGAGGAGGAGTACTTAATAAATCACCATCTCCAGGATCTGATTAATGAGATTCTTTACGATGAATATCAATTATTTCTTAAGCTACCTATATTTATTCATTATGAACAGTCTCTTTATCCTATTAAACTTCATGAACATCTTCACTTGCTCTATATTATAAATTAAATCTTTCAGGTAAATTGAAATCTAATTATATTGTTCCACATTAATGTTCTCTTTTATAAGCATCATATAATTTAACATCAATTTTTGGTCCATAAAATGCTCCATCTCCTGGATTTATTTCAAAATATTTTCCAAATTTCTTCAATCCTTATTCTAATTAATATTCAGCATTGTCCCATACATCTTTAGTTCCCAAGAATTTTTCTGGACGTGTACTTAAATACAATTTGAATTCAAATCCAAATAATGAATAAATATAACTTAAAAAGTCTAAACAATTTTTAATTTCATCTTAAATTTAATCCATTCTACAAAAGATATGAGCATCATCTTATTAAAATCTACGTACTCTAGTTAAACCAGTTAATGCTCCATGTACTTCATTTCTATGTAAAACTCCAAAATCTGCAAATCTAATAGGTAAATCTCTATAGCTATGTTAAACCATATCAAACATTAAACAATGTCCAGGACAATTCATTGGTTTTAAACCATATTCTCCTTCCTCTCCCATATTTATAAAGAATAAATTCTCCTTATATTTATCATAATGTCCACTTATTTTCCATAATTAAGCGTTAAATATATTTGGAGATATGACTTCCTAATAACCTCTAATATAATATTATCTTCTCAAAAAGTTCATTAATGTATTATAAATATGTGCACCACTTGGATAGAAAAATGCAGATCCAGGAGATAATTAATGAAATAAATATAAATTTTATTTCTTTCCAACATTTCTATGATCTCTTTATGCTAATTCTTTTTATATTTTCACATATTCATCCAATAATTTTTTATTTGGAAATGAAATACCATAAACTCGTTATAAATCGTCATTAGTATTTTTACCCAACCAATATGCAGCTGAATTTTTAGTTATTTAAAATGCTTTCACATAACTTGTATTAGGTAAATGAGGACCAGTACATAAATCTATTAAATTTCCACATCTATAAGCAGTAGTTAAAGATCCGTCAGGTATTTTATTTGTTATCAATTATCTTTTAAAAGGATTACTTCCAAAGATTTCAAGACTATTATATAAATAATTACATAATACCATTCTTCTTTTGTTAAAATGACTCTCTAGAATTCCTATTTAGCAGAAACTAAATCTTATGCAGCTTTTTCGATTTTCACATAATCATTTTATGTGACCTTAATATCACCTAGATAACAATCATAAAAGAATCCTCCTTCAATTGCTGGACCAATACATAAATGACATCCATAAATTTCTTCAAGAGCAGATCCTAGAATATGAGCAGAGGAATGCCAAAATACTTCTTGTCCATTTTTATCATCAAATGATAGTAATTCTAAACTACAATCTCCTTCCAATGGTCTAGTCAAATCCCATATTAAATAATCAGGTTTTAAACTAAGAGTTGATGATGCTTGACTAGATGTCTCTTCATGATCAACATCCACAAAACCTATCTTATTTTATAATCAATACTTTTTTCAAATATAGTTTCATAGACTACTTTTGCAGCAACCATACTTTCAGCCATTTTCTTACTTATCCCTTATGCAATCTACAATGGAGTTGTTACCCATTTCTTACCTAAAATTAAATTAGATATTAAACCTTCTATCTGTTTACCATCCTTAAGTGTAATTTTAATTGGAGTCTATTACATCATCTTCATTTCAGCCTGTTGACGTTGATAAATTTCTTAAAATAGTTTTAATCTCTTCTCTTAGAATACAGGTTTCCCTATCTTAAAAGGTCCTCCAATTTTATTGCCAAACTGCTAAATTGTTCCTTCTGTAGCCTCTTTCAGTCTTGATCCTTACTACATAATAATTGAATTAATTTTTAAATTTCGCTCAAATCATACAATTCCTATTAAGTGTGTAAAATATATATATTATTTACATATCTTTATAGTAGTTAAATTTTAATATTAATTAGAGAGAATGATTAGATAGGAGTGAAATTGTATCATTAAATATTTATATTTTATTTTGTGCATGCAGTAAAATTAATAAACAGTATCATCTGATTAATTATAAAATGGATTTTAGACTATTATTTTGAATTACATCTCTAATTTAATTAAATAACAAAACCTAAATTATGAATTTGGATTGATGAACTAATGAATGTATGTATCAACTTATAAGTTCGTTAAATATACATATATATATAAATAGATTTTATATAAGAATTTATAATTAAAATCATTGAATGAGTTTTTACATATATTTTTATTACAAGGTTGTATTATTAAAATTTTGGTTCTGTTTAAATTAAAATGAGCCAAGGAAGAAATAACAATCAACCATTTAATTTAGGAAGTAATGCTTCTGAATTTGATCAATAATTTCTCTTTTAAAGGTATAACATTATTTCTACAGACTACTATAAACATTTTATTGTATTTAATGATATCCATATATTATATTTTGATATACCTATAATTATATTAGCAATCAACAATTATTACATATGTTTACTCCTGAAATGCAACAATATTTATTGAGATAACTATTAAATCCAAACCTATTACAATGCATTAATTAAAACTAATAATTAAAGGATTACTTTCAACCCTCCAATTTACTAAGTAAAGATAATTATGCATTTCATACTTACAATATATCATATATATATATGTTTGTTTGATTAATTAGTTAGATTTATCTGCTTTAATGAATGGAATTGAAATGTTATCATTTCTACCAAATCCAATTTAAACATAACCATAACTAAATTTGTTAAGCAATAGATAATAGGAGAATTCAAGTAGGAAGATAAAATATAATGCAAATAATCCTATAACAGTAGATGATGATGAACCAGCTTAAACTATTAAAAAATGTTATAATTCATAATGTAAGAATGTTGGAGATAAGAAAATTAAATCTAAAAGGAATGATATATTATTCTTTTGTGATAAATGTTGTAAATTATATAATAAAGGAAATTATTGTGATTTTTGTGAATAAGTATTACTATCCTAATTTTATTTATTTAAGGTTTATGGCTCTTATGATGATGAAGCTGGTTGGATTTAATGTGATTAATGTTAAAAATGGGTATAATATATTAATAATAATAAAAATAGAATCACATTACTTGTGAATAAAAATATAGAAATTAAAATATTGAAAATGAATCAGAAACTACTCCTTATCATTGTTTAGATTGTTCCAAAAATATTAAGAAAACAAAACCATTGAAAATATCTGATGAATTTATACCTCCAAAATATCATCCTATACATGAATAAGAGGATTGTAAAAATAAAGAAAAAAATATTACATTTGTAGCTACAAAAGACAATAAAATATAATATAGTAAAATATATATATATATTAAATAATTAGCATACAGATTAAACTTATTTGATGATGAAATTAAATTAGATTTAGATCTACTTCGAAATTCGATTAAAAAGACTAAAAAAATATAATTAACATCTACTCCTCCTCATGTATTACAATAAAATGTAATATCGTCTTAATAATAAAGTTAGTTATTGTAATAGTAATAAGAAGTAAGTATTCAATTCTAATGAAAAAACTTAGGAATAATCATAATTGAGTAGTAGAAGTTTGAGAAGAAGAATTAATTAGAGATTAAATTATAGAGATTTAGTTGGGGAACATTGAAATTATATATAATTATTTTCAACATCTAAATTTATTATTATTGTTTATTTAAACATATAAATTATAAAATATCATGATAATTGTTCAATCTTTTTTAGTTTTTCTTAATATCGTTTTAAAAAATGACAGGATTTATTAATTTATTCTAAAACTTAAAAATATTCTTCTTTTTATTATTATTTATTCAACATTTCACTTAAAATTATTAAATTGGATAAACAAATTTCAATTTCTTGTCGGTCTGAAAATTATTCATTATCAATTATCATAGTTTTCACTTTTTATCCTAATTCAAAAGCTTCTTCAAATTTATTTTGACTAAAATGCTAATTTTGAGAATAACATACTGGATTAGACAAGTGATCATTAAATTCATTAATTTAGCTGAATCTCCAAATCTATCTTTTGTTTCTTAAATTGATTTTAATGCTTATTCTGGTTATCCATTATAAAGCTATAAATAAATATATATATATATATACATTTAGATAAATTTAAGCAAGATATGTCAAAATATCTTCATCATCAAATCTTCTTAAATCTAATAAAGTGGATTCTGCTAAATCAAATCTTCTACCTCTTAAATATATAATAAATTAGAGATATAATAATTCTTAATAAAATGCATCTTTTTGTAATTCTAATTAAAGTGCATATTATGCTTCACAAGAATTCACAGACATATATGCACATATAATTTAAATAATTTTCTAATTTTATTAAGGAATAATATCTTTAAGTTTTTTCAATACATCTTCTATTTATTTTCTATCTTCATCTATTGTAGTATCTAATTTCTATTATTCTATTAATGGACCCATAAATCTACTAACAATATCAGTTATCTCTAATAATTTAGAAGATGGTTTCTTAGTTAATCTTATAGTTTTTGGATTCAATTCTCTTGCTGCAATTAATGCTCTTGAAACTAAAAAGTAATAGTAATCATCATCATAATCATTTACTTACCATATTTCTAAAACTTTATTGAAATTTCCTAAAAAGAAAGCTATTTTGGCTTAAAGAAGTATTTATTATTCCATCTAATACACGTAAATACTATTTAAATAATTATTAATTTTTCAATTGAAATTTAATCTCAATTCAAAATTAAGAATATGATTATAATACATATCATGTATATAATTTTATAAGGTCAAAATTAACTTAGAATATACTCTAATTCATATTTTGGAAACTCATTAAATTTCCATCTATTTGTCTCATGTCCTTAATCAATTCTTATGATTTATCCATTTAATACATTATATTCAATGTTTTAAAAAATAAATGATATTTTATCCACTTGAAATTATAGCATACTTAATTTCTAAAGATGAGAATTAAATTCATTTTCTTTGAAATTATTCTTTACTATATACAAAAAGTTTTTTTCTGCTCTGTCTAAATAATATTTAAGAATAGATTTTATTGGATTTTCTCTTTCATCTCTAGGTTCTTTAATACAAATATACTCATAGATGTGAAAATACCTATCGATATGTAAATTAAAAAATTTCCTATAATCAAAGCTTGAGGAATCACTTCTTTGTTTTTAAGATAATTATAAATGTAAAAAAGCAATTTTATTTATTAATGGATTAAATATTTGTTTCAAAAAATAATCCCAATTTGTTTTTTTCATCAAATAAAATAACATCTCCTTTTTTGAATATAATAAAATATAACCAGTACCTATAATTAGAAATTTCATAAAGAATTCATCAATTTCTTAACATGTTGAAAAAGTCCATTTTGTAATAACATCATGAATTTCTTATTTGAAAAATGCAAAATCAGCCACTTAATGATATCCATTTAATATAGCAAAAGCATCAGCCTATTCTATTTCAATAACAAGTTTATCATTAAGAAAATATGTTTTCATTTAAATCAATAATGGTATGATACCCAAAGAACTTAAAAATTTATCACTTCTTATTCCAAAAACAAAAGTAGCAAATTGCTAATTTGGATATACCATAAAATAATATTAATAAAGTGAATTCAACATATTATTATCAAATATTTTATAGTTCAATAATTATATTGGAATAAAAGTTCTTTAAATTAAATCAGTGAATTTATCTATTGCTGTAAATTAAGTGAGAAAATGCAAATTTATTGGAGGTTATTTAAAGATTTCTAGATTCATTATATTGCCCTCTAATAATTCTAAATTTATAAGCATAAATCTAGCAAAACGTTCATCTACAGACATCAATGAGTTTCCAATGATATAAGAAATGTAAAATTTTGCTATCATCATTCTTCCAAAAATTATTTCAATTACTATATCAGTAGGAGCATATTCTATTTCTCTAATACAATTTTCATTTAGCTAACTTATTTTAGAAAACATTATTTTCATAAAACTTTATTATTGATTAATTTTCTTAGATAAACTTTCAATCAATACTTCCAAATCTTATTCTTATAAATCTGATTTTTGAAAACTGAACATATTTTTATATAATATATACCTTAATTTTAAATGTTTTCTTGAATAATTAACAATATATTTCATTTTAGTTTTTTTATCTGTAACACAATAGCCATTTTTACGTAATACTAGTCTATTTGATGATATTCCTTTTTCCATTAGATCTAACAATTCATCATTTGTTTTTTCATATATCAAATGAAATTAGTTTCCTTCAATCTATATTCTAGGGTTTAAATTCATCAAATTAATTAGTTAATAAATTAATAAAATCCCATAAAATTTTAGAAATAAATTATAATTAATTATTATAAACTCATTACATAAATTTGCATGAGCATCCAAAACCTTTCATGTTCAATAAGTTATCATGTAAAGTTTGCAGGTACTCTAAATCAAATTTAATTATACTTATTGATAATATTTATTCAATTATTATATTATCATAAATAATTAAAAATAATATAATATATATAAATGAAGTAATCTTTTCATTGTTTTAGTATCTAATCTAAGTATTTTTTAAGTATAATCCTATATGTATACTCATATTATAGTTTAAATCCTTATATATTTAATATAAGATGACTCATACTAACTACAAGTATATAATAATCTATCTGGATCTTATAGAATTTCTTTAGCTAATTGTAATAATATAATATTATGTTAGAGAATTCTTTATTTTTCCAATCTATAAACTAAAGCGAAATACTCATCATAATCTAATTATTCATTCTTTAACAAAAAATCACTACTAACAAGATCTTCTTTAAATTCTTGCAATAATTCAATAGAATTTGTTAATCCTAAAGATATCATAATTAATAACCTTTTAATTCAGTTTAAATGTTAATGATATTCAACACACTCTCAGGATAATAATAATCTTGGTTCTCACTTCTACAACCTATTTTAAATAATACCCTTTAATAGCCTTAGAAAATTTAAGTAAAGCAAAAGGAAACTCAGTATATTTTAGTTTAATTGATAAATACTATTTCTAAAATATTCTATTCACTTTCCTTTTAAGTAACTTTCCAGTATTAATTCTTAAATATACATGATCATATGTATTTTTTTCTATTGCAATTCCATATCTTAATAATAATTCTCTATTTGAAAGTCTTCCATAATTAAAATAGACTTAAGTTCCTTTCATAAAATTTTCAGTCTTTTGTGAACTAATACAAAAATAATCAAAATCTTCATCTTCTTTCCAATTCATTTTTTCTTAGTTTAATTCTTATTATTATTACTTTTTTACTCACTTTTCTTTATTAAATTAAATAACAAATAATCTTTTAAGACTTCATATGTTTATTCTTCTAATTAATTTTTGCTAGCCCATTCTATTATTTAATCTGCAATAAAATTATCAAGATCTGATTCATTTTAATCTAAATCTAAAGAATTATCTGAATCAGATGAAGATTAAACACTTTAGAGTTCTTCTTCAGCATAGAAACCTTCATTTTAATATACTTTCTTTTTTCCATATTTCTTCTCTTTCTAACTCTAAGTTTAATTGTTATACTCTTTTTAATCATTTTCTTATTATAGAGCAATATGAACATCTACACATTCATGACAAAAGAATTCACAAATAGGAACCATACTTTTATATTTTAAATTATGTCCAAAATCTCTAGTATATTAATTAGTATATGCCCATTAGAATTCATTTTCTGTAACATTCATTACTGTTTTAAATATTATATATGTCTATTCATATTCTTCTTTCTTTTTTTTTTACTTTATTGATTAAATTTTCATCTTACAACAATTTCAATATATTATCTGACCAAAATATTAACATATTAACATCAATAGGTAAGTTATTTAATAAATCTATAATATTTAGATTTAAACCCTTTTCTTTTATTCATAATGAGAAAAGCAATTATTGTATGTTCTTCTTTCTCTTCATGATCTATAAAAAAGTCTCTATGTTTATAATAAAAGGCTTTTTGACTTGATTCAAATGCAGTTTGACTACTTATTATCAATTGACGGGGAACTTAAACCAAAAGACAATTAATTGGAATATCATCTGTAGCTGTTCACTATTTAAAACATCTTTTGGATTACCTTTAAAACCTCTATAAGGTAATCCATTTTTGAGATAAAAAGTTGCTAATTAAACATCCTATAATTTCACTCCTTATTTAATATAATCAATTTGATTTTTTGTTTAATAATCTTGAGACTAAGAAATGCAGTTATTATCTTTCAAGTAAATTCCTTTTTCCTTACATTAATTAAATCTAATACTCTTTAATACATTTTGCCAATCGAAAACCTTTTTGGATAATTCATAAGTTAAATTTATATTAACACTAAAATAAACATCTCATTTTGGTAAATAAAGAGCATATCTCATCTGTTCAAAATATTTCTTTAAGATTATACGATTGGTTTCACAATATTCAAAATCAAATTATGTTTTTTCAGTGGCTTATTCAAATGGAATTCCATCTAACATTCTATCTATAACAACAATACAAATTTTAATTAGACTATATTTAATATACTAAAATTACTTAATATTATGATGATATATTCTTTATCTTTCCAATCTATAAATTACTGCAAAATATTCATGATATCCTAATGTATTATCATACAATAGTTTTTCATTATCTTCTAATTTATCTTAAAATTTCTAAATTTCTTCAATCAAAATCTCTAATGCTAATTATAATGCTCTTCTTTCTAATTTCAGATCTTAGATCTTGAAAAAAGTATCTAAAGAATGTACATTAAAAGTCCTATATAAAATATATATATAATATAGATACCAATATATTGATTTACAAAATACAATTAAATCTATAGGAAAAGTAGAATGTTTTAATTTAAATCTTTTGTATTTACTTAATTGATATTTATGAACTAACCAAATAGCTTCATTACTTTATATATATTTCAAATATTCTATTCTTAAATGTGCATGATCATATTTATTATATTCTAATGACATTCCATATCTCATAAGCATCATTCTATTAGATAATCTGCCATAACAAAAATAAACCTATGCTCCTTTCTCAAATTAATCTTTACTAGCAGCTTTCATTACAAATCTATCAAATTTATCTTTTTCCCATACTGGTTTATAATACTCACATTCAGGATCTAAAGGTTAAGATAGAATTTATTCACCATTATCCAAAGTTGAATTTTAACTTTTTGATCTTTTTTATTAAAAATAATTAGTTTAATAAATTGGTTTTTTCATAATATCTTTTTAAAAAGCATACAAATTATTTTTATAGGTATTACAGGTTAATTAGATTCTTTTAACTTCTTCCCTAGCCATAAAATATGCTTTTCCTCCATTAATATATTCTTATATTGATTTATCTAATTTAGCAAACATCTATCCAATAAAAAAGATTGAATAATTATCTCCATAATCTATATTTTAAAATATAAATGTCTTGCAATCTCTAGATAATAGAAATACTTCTCTCTAAAGATTTAATTTAATATTAAAATCTTTCTTCATTTTTATTTATTGTTCTTGTAAATCTTTCATTTTTTTATTCTATAATTCTTCATCTTATTAATTATCTAAAACTTAATTAATTTATTCTTATTCTTCATTTTATTATTATATATTATCCAAAATTTTGCTAAATTCTTCATTAAACTTTTTAGTAGATTATTCACTAAAATCATCAAAATTAAACTCTTTATATTATTCATATGTTTCTATCACATATTCAGAATCACTTATTTCATCTTCAGAATTGTATGAACCCTCTGAAGATGTAACTGATAATTCTTCATCTTCTTTCAATTCTTTCACTTAAGCTTATTCACTCTCTTCACTTTTATGAGGATTATCAGCATTGTATTCAAAATCATAAAATACATCTGTACATTCATGATTAAATAATTCACAAAATGGAACCATAGTTACATATGCTAAATATTTACCAAAACATCTTGTAACTAAATGAGTATAAACCCATCTAGCATTCTCTAAGGTTACAGTTTCTGGTTTAAAGAGTTGAGGATATTTATCAGTTATACATTTGAGAGTTTCAAATTCAATTAAAAATTCTTTATATTATTTTCTAGCCAATTTAACTAATGGTTCATCATCTAATAAATCTTATTCTTCATGACTCCAAAAAACTAAATAATCAATATCTCTAGGTAAATTAGAGATTAGTAGATGCCATTCAGATTCAGGTCCTCTCTAATATTCATATAGAATAAATGCCATTAATTAATGATCTTCCCAAGAAGGATAGAATTAATTACTAAAGTATTATGGATGGTCTAAAAACATTTGTTTTAAAGGTGATTCAAATGCATGTCTTGTTGTTAATAATAAATCTTTTGGCACTGAAACTAGTGTTTCATTTGATAAAATTTTCTCAGATGCTAAATAATGAAATCATTTAAATACCAATCAGACCTGGATATTTTAAACCATTTTTAGTTTAAAATATTGCATACTTAACTTTATTGATATAAACACCTTAAGCAGTTAAAGTTTCTATATAATCTTATAATTATTTAGGAGTTTCTGGAATAATAGCATTAGGATCTGCTTTACGTAATCCTTTCAATTTACGAAATCGTTTCCCAATACTATGTCTTTTCATTAATAATATTTAAATTTAATATAATATAATATGAAATAAACTAAAAATAAAATAGAGATTATCTAAAATAACTCTTATAATTAGGATTCTAATATATAAGTATAATAATTTAATAAAGTAATTAAAAGGATACAAAAATTTTGATATTTAAGTATTTTATTGATTATAAATACTAATTCAGTATTAAAATCAATATATGAAGTTTGAACCAAAGACTACTGAATTATTATGAGGTTTTTATAAATAAATAGATATGATTGATATTTTATATATTGTAATTTTATCATAAGATAAGATAATTAAATTATATTGTATTAATTGATTTATAACTTAGTACTATGAAATTTAGATAAAAAGCATAATGTACCTAATCTCTTCCTAAGATTCCTGTATAAAAGTAATGTCGTTACTTAACTCAAAAAGAAGATGAAGAGGATTTAGATTTCAGTTTTGAAATAAGTCCTGTCAATTTGGTAACAACAAAATAGGATTTTTATAAATTACACAAAACAACAGAGAGATAGTAAGAGTAAAACAAAATGTATAATCGAAATGATAATTTGATGACTACTTTATCTTCTTCTTAATTACCACCAGGAAGTTTTGGATTATTTAATCGACAAAAGAATGATGCTTTACATTTAAAGTATAATTGAATTATCAATAGCCATATGAAGTATGGAGATAAGTATATGATAATGTTAGCAAGAGGGTTACAGAAATAAAATGATATAAAGGAATTCAATTTAAATGATAATAGAATGACTTAGTTGAGTTCATCAGAAGTAATTAAGAGTACTAGAGGAGCTACATCATTAAGTTTATCAAAGAATAAGATTGGAAATGGATGTTTAGAGATTGGTAATTCATTAGTGAATAGAGATTGTAAAATATAATTATTGAATTTGGAAGATAACAAATTATAAGAGAGTCTTATAATAGATATATTAGATAGAATTGCATATAATAGATCATTAAAAATAGTAAATTTGAGTAAAAATAATATATCAAATAATTGTGTGAATGCTCTATCAAATATGTTAATAACAAATGAAGATATTGCTGAATTGTATCTTCATTTTAATAAATTAAATGGTATTGCAGCTGTTTAAATATTCAATAATATGCATAAATCAAATCTAAAAGTCTTAGATTTATCATAAAATTCTTTAGGAATAGGATATGATTGGTCTTAAAGTTTTAATAAGATGGTTTAATTGAATAAGGAATTAATTCATTTTGATCTATCCTTTAATAAAATAGATTATCAAATTACATGTTAAATAGCTGAAGGATTAAAGAAGAATAAAAGTATATTAGGATTTCATTATACAGGAAATTGTGGATATGTTGATCCAAAGGGTTTTTTGATACCAATTTAAAAAGGAATTGTAGAATAGACATAACATTAAATTGCATAAAGAATATAAGGATGTTAATATATAAAATAAAAGAGATTAAGATCATATAGAGACAGTAATATAAAAGATTGTTGTTGGATTTGTGAAGGTTGGAGATAGATAGAATTTTAATGGAATCCATAAACATCTGGACCTGCTAATGATCCTATGTTCTTACATTTATCTTATTTAAATTATGATGATTTATATATGGGTAAAGTTGAATCTGGATTAAGAGTATAAAGAATGGTACCTCCAGGATTGAGTTATTATTTTTTTACAAATGATAATATGTAATGTGTTGCAAAGGATTAATTACATAAGAGATGGCCTTTGCCTTTAAATAAAGTAAAAGTGTAAGATAAAGAAATTGATGTGAAATTACATCAATTAAATTATATGAATGTTTTAGGAACATAAATCATAGATAAATATTATATGCCTATAATAAATGTTTAACCAAGATAAGAAGATCTACTTTATATACCTGAGAGAGTAGATAATCGTATATTATGGACATTTCCAATATCATTATTTAAAGATTGGAAAAGAGATAATGAAGAATTGATAGAGAAATGTTTTATAAGTGATTGGAATCAAAGTAGGATTACTAAGTTAATAAAAGATGATAATGATAGAAATGCATGTTATAATTTTTTATTGTCTAATTATTAATAGATAAAAGATACTTATAAGTAAAAGATATTTGAAATTTAGACACTATGCATGTTTGTCACCAATAGGAGATATATGGGCCATATCATCATTAATAAATCTATAATTATTAAGTACAGTAAGAATGACAGAACCAAATGAAAAAGGTATTATTAAATAATAGGATATGGAATTAAAATATTTGGCTACAATATCAGGAACAGAAAAAGGAAATTATAGAAAACCAGAAAGAGGAATGGTAAGATTTTAATTTTTAGAAATGTTTGTTAGAATAGCAGAAGATAAATATATAAAGAATGGAATAGCTAAATCATTTGAAGAAGCATTATAATGGATGTGGAATGATCATTTAAAAGAAGAATTTAATAAATATAATACTTAAATATTTAGAGATACTAAATTTTGGAATGAATAATGTGATCTTTGTATGAAACATTATAAAACTATTCTTGATAGTATTTATATTAGATATAGTGTAAAGAAAGTTAAACCTGGTTAAAAACCATTTATGAGTTTATAAGAATTATAAGAAATGTGTGCACATATTGGATTAAATTAAATTGAAACATTTGGACCTAATATTCCTTTATTTGCATTTAATAAAGCTATGATGACTTAAATA